GTGTTCGGAGTTCTGGGTGTTCGCGTAGGCACGAGCCCTACTAGACTGGAGGGGGCCATGTCTTCGGATCATCACAACGATCGCCGAGTTCAATGTGCCTGGGACGGAGACCCTGCTTCATACCCGGACTTTTTGAGGAGGGTTCGCTTATCTTTCGAGCGAATGCCTCGAAAGAAAATGCACCTCTTGGGGCCAGAACTGGTTGCTCAATTGAGCGGCAGAGCTTGGATCATAACCCAGGACATCGACCACGGCTTGCTTGCGACGCAGCGGCGTAATCTGTTTGCTGGAGTAGCTGAGAAGCGATTGGGGAGAACTCCAGTACCGGACGTGGGACCAGACTAGAATCTGATTTTGAGAATCAGGCGTCCCTCAGGTCGAAGCAACCTGGTCCAGTCAGTTGCGCTATCATTCTCGTCAGCTTCGGGTGGCGGGACAAGAAGGATGATGCTTCTACAACGACCCCGCCGACCTCTCGCCCTACACGATAGTCTCCCCCGTCAACGGGGATAGGCATCAAAAAAAATCAAATTTGGCTCAAAAAAAATTAAATTTTGGATCAAAAAAAATTAACCTAGCCGAAACCACGACAGGAAGGAAGGAAGGAGGGAAGCACGAAAGGGAGGAGGGAAGGAGCAAAGGAGGGAAGGAGGAAAGAAGGAAGGAAGGAGAGAAGGTAGGAAAGAGAAAAGCAGGAAGGAAGGAAGGAAGGAAGGAAAAAAACAAGGAAGCAGCGAAGAAAGAAAGAAAGAAAGAAAAGCAAGAGGATTAAAGACGTTTTTTCTAAACGCACAACAATGACAAGGCCACATGAAAACGCTTCAGGGGATTTAAAATTCGAAGAACAGAAGATTTCTCATGAATGAAACGTCTTCACCGACAGGCAAAAGGGCAAACCAGATGTATTCGCTTTGGGAAGCCAAGAGCAAGAAACAAGAAAACAAAGGTAAAACGACAACGTGAGTTTCTGTGGAAAACGAAAAGAGGGAGAAGCCACATGAACTGCCCGCTTTCTTAACTTGTCGAGACACATGACATCGCTTCAGGGGGGCAAAAGCGAGCAAAGAGTTCATCACCATCATCTTCTGCAGGTCCTATGGTCACTTGCTCGGCATCCTCGGGGTCATCTGCTCCGTGAGGCTCCTGTTGGATCTATCTTCTGGCCTGTCGAAGAGAGCTCGTTGCACCGGGTGACGGATCCAAAAAATTAAAGCACAAAGATCAAAACAAAAATTAAAAATTGGAGCAACAAAAATATTAAATCAGTACTTCCGCCACAGAATCACACAAAAAACAAGGGGTGATCGAGGGTGACGGATCAAAAAAAATTAAATTTGGATCAAAACAAGCACAAGGACTCCACAAATTAAAAACAGTATCAAAGGTTAAATCAGTACTTCGCTTTTGCCCCCCTGAAGCGATGTCATGTGTCTCGACAAGTTAAGAAAGCGGGCAGTTCATGTGGCTTCTCCTTCTCTTCGTTTTCCAGAGAGACTCACGTTGTCGTTTTACCTGTGTTTTCTTGTTTCTTGCTCTTGGCTTCCCAAAGCGAATACATCTGGCTTTCGCCCTTTTGCCTCACGGTGAAAACGTTCATTCATGAGAAATCTTATATTCTTCGATTTTTAAATCCCCTGAAGTGTTTTCGTGTGGCTTTGTCCTTGTTGTGCGTTTAAAAATAGCGCCTTTAATTCATTTCATCGACAGCTTAAGAAAGCGGGCAGTTTGCAGTTAAAAAACGGTGGCAAACCTTCCAACATGAGCTTTGTTTTGCTCGCTTATACCCCCCTATAGCGATTTCATGTGGCTCGACAACTCAAGAAAGCGGGCAGTTTGCAGTTAAACAACGGGGGGGTTGGGGGGCGCAATCCCCCACATTTGCAAACCTTCCAACATGAGCTCTGCTTTGCTCGCTTTTACCCCCGTAAAGCGATTTCTTGTGGCTGGACAACTTAAGAAAGCGGGCAGCTTGCAGTTAAAGAAGCGGGGGGGTTGGGGGGGGCGCAGCCCCCCCCCATTTGCAAACCTTTCAACATGAGCTTTGCTTTGCTCGTTTCTACCCCCCTAAAGTGATTTCATGTGGCTCTCCCTCTCTCCGTTATCCAAAGAGATGGTGGCTCCTCCTTCGCCGAGATTGGATGATGTGGCAAAATCCTTGAAGGCCATGGAAGACGAAATTCTTTGACAGGAGCTCCGACCTCTCGGTGGACAGGGAGGCAAAAGGCATGGATCACCGCACCTACTGGCTTGAGTGGTCTATGTGGCTGGGTAAAAAACCCGGGACCTCGAAAGGCATGACATCCACAGACGCTCACTTCCTTTTTCCAAGAGACGTTGCGGAAGGCCACAGTGGTTTCTTCCTCCTTTTTCGGCATCACGGCCCCGGGTCTCACTGAGAAGAATTCGACCTCATCCGTGTGATGCTCACCAAAAAGGTTCGGGTCATGGCAAACTCGCCCAGGCACCTCACACTAGAGTCGGATCACGACGTCTGGCTCCG